GTCGTAATTGAGCTGGCCCTTTCTTCTTGCCACCGCTACCAATACTCTTCTCAGAGGTGTCTAATGATGCTAAACAACCCTTCACAATATCATTGTTGTAGGTGAAATCCCTCGCAACTCAATGTTGATTTCACAAAACATGTGCCGGCGATTTCACAGTTGTCTCGGCGACCCGCAATAAAGTCGGAGGAGGTTTGATTTCACTGGTATGACTTCGACCCGCGATTTCATAGGTTTGATTTCGTCGTCGGTGTGCCGGCGATTACATGGATCGTGAGAGAGGAGTGCAAGGGGAGGTGGTGAAAATTTTCAATTTTGGGGGTTTATTTCAAATAGCAAGATTATCACATGATTTCTCTCCCCCAAGCTGCCGTTATGTTTGACTGAGAGTGCCATGTCAGTAGGAAGTAAACAATTTGGGAAAAGTGTGTAGTACATATATCTTTTTCCATCTCACAAATATACCACTCATCTCTTTAATAGGATAATTTTGCAATTATTATACAGTTGCTACATTGTTTTCAGATATATCTTCAATTCTAATTTTTTGTATCAATTATTTCTACTAGTTATAGCTTTATTCCTAAATTTCTACATAACTCGTTACATGGGATTAATGACGATGAGGATGTTAACCAATTCTACAGTAGTTCCAATATTCCGTCTATATTTTTTCTCAACCTTTCCATTGTTTCGAATCCGAAAAATGTCAGTACTATCGAACCAACAACCATAGAGCCTGATGACGATTGGGAGAAGCGATCTCTACAAAGAGATAAAAAAAAAAGGCAAAATCTCATTAACCTACTTTTGAATGTTGGAAACACTTCAAGAGAATGAAGACTGTTGAGAATAACGAGCAAATTACGAAAGCATATTGTAATTATAGGGGAAAGGATTTCACTTGGAAAGTAAATATTCATACTATCCAGTACAACAAGCATTGTGAAAAAGGCCTTGTTCATATTGAGATTGTCGGAATAGGCAGAGTCAATTTCAATTTGGTTCGGGCAAAGACGGGCCTTCTAGAGCAATTTTTGCAAATTGAGCATATAATTCAAAAACAACGCTCGAATGTATGATAATATTCATATACAGTGCCAACTGCCAAGTTGCTATCCACAGTGGAAATTGTGCACTTGATGAAATTCATACAAATATGTATTCATCCGATACTATAAATTTAAGGGGTATTGAAAAAAAAATACAAATTATTGACGATTTAAGAAATTATAATGGTGTCATTTTATTTAAGTACGATCCGTGGTCCGGGAAAACCGTAAAGGATATAAGTTTTTGATCATGTATAAAAAAAATTATTGTATTCAAGGCCGTTAAATTTTCAAAAAATGCACAACATTTTCAAAATTTTAATGGGCGTACGGAGAATTTTTTCGCAAAGATAAAGTTCGTAGTTTTAATTTTGATAATGGTAATATTCACTCTAATATTTGAAGAATCGATAAACCAACTCCATTTGAATTTTGATGCAAAAAAATTTCATGTGCATTACGTTTCTCATATTTTTAATTTGATTTCGCAAGATGGCTTTAAGTATATTGCACCACGTTTGACAAAAATTAAACAAGCTATTACTTTTGTTTCTATCTCTTATCTCTATCTCTATCTCATAAACAAACATTACAAGTGTGAGCATATTATAACTTACCCAACATGATGTTTATAACATATATAAGTAATTGATACAACTCTACATATCTCATGCTATAATCTTATAAAAATTATAATGTGATTATTACTAATTTTATAATGGTGAGCATCATCTGACACTAATTGGGATTTAAATTATAACGATTCGTTAATTGCTTTTGAGATCATGAAATTTTGAAAGTTTTTTTTATACGACCAATGCATGCACGAATGTCTATTATCGCATTGCTCTTATTGTTTCAACTTATCAATTTAATATTGCCAAAAACATTAGTATTTATAGGGATTGTTCACTGTTGATGATGCAATGGAGATGAAATTCCGAAAAATATTGGAAAGACTTGTCCATATTATCCCACAAGTTGCGATTACGGACCTTTTATTAACTTACAAGGTTGTAAATGTATTATCTAAAGTATTTCATTGCATTTGACATTTGACATCACCATTATACATTATGATATAGAAAGTAATTTGTATAATTTATATTCCCAATATGTTGTCAAGTACGATATAAATAATGATTCACATTATATGAGATAAAGATAGATCATGTGACTTAGACATGCAATATTATAATCCGAACAGAAGCACATATTTGTATTTGCAAATGATGGCAAGGTGTTATTCCGGCATCTATTCAAATGTGCAATTGTAAACTGTTGAAAGTGGAATTGTAATTAAGTTTAAATTTTGAATCGTCAATCGTTATTATATTGTGTTTATTTCATTTATTTGTTTTTAAAAAATTATACACGAAATATTCAACAAGGTTCAATTTTAACTCTGCGTTTATGTTGTGGTCGAATCCAAGTATAGATAAAAGAGAATTTTTATAAATTTATAATTTCTTAAATTCATATTTGTTTTTACAAATTTAGGCCTTCATTGTACTTGTAAGAGTGATAATACAATTTTTGACAAAATAATAATAATAATAATAATAATAATAATAATAATAATAATAATAATAATAATAATAAAATGCAAGTATCAATTGGCTCACAAGCTAACGAGTTGAGACTGGCTGTTCAAAATTTAGTGTCCAATTTGTTGTCCACCAGTGATTTATTGACACATTATTTTACACCTATTTTTAAGTACAAGTGTTAGTGAGAGGAAAGTTGAACATATTAATTTAATATGATATGTGTTGAACATGTGACGCCGGGCAGAATAGTGATTATTCTGCAGGCTGGGTTCAATTGACAAAAACAGAGAAGAACGCAAGAGAAACACAAAGAAAAACGAGAAAATTCTTTATTATTCAACAACTGAATGAAAATAACCCACAAGCCGGGTTAAATAGCAAGAAAATAATAATAATAAT